AGACTACTTGAGAACTACTATTTTTTTTAACCACCATTTCAATTTAAGTTCATTTAAATATTCCCTCCTTATAATCCTCCATAATTTCAAAATTAAAAATTCAAAGATTCAAAAATTTTAATATTTATGGATTTAAATTTCAATTACAATTACAATCATAAATAGCACATAGTCTTTTATACCTCTTAACACACAAAAAAGAAAAATGATGCTTAAGTCACAAGAAAAAAAAAAATCTACTTAAGTGCTTTCTTTGAGCTTGTTATCCTAGGTCCTTGTATTTTCTTCTTTGATGTTGCATTTTGTGAGCTATTGGGTGTTTGAAGAGTTGGGATGCACACAACCCAAACACAACCACAAAAATTGAATACATGAAACTGGATGGATGTTTTTTCATAGTCATCAAAGTGTATTTTATGATAGTATCCAAAAAAAGATGTCTAAGAATATCATCACTAAGTCAACAAGCAAGTTAATCATAGGGAGTGGGTAACTTTCCTTTGGGTGTGTCGAGCTATGATTCATTAAGTCAACACACATCCTCCACTTGCCAGTGACCTTCTGAACCATCATAAAATTAGAAATTCTATCAGTATGTTGTAACTCCCTAATGAAATTAGCATCTTCTTCAGTTAGCATAATGGCTATCTTTTTAATTTTTTATTTTATGGGCTTGGCATCTCTTCTCATATTAAGTTTGTGATGGGTAGCTTCTTCGTTAATGTATGGCATCTCGGCTCTATCCACACAATGACATCAAGATTATCCCTAAAAACTTGGATAAGCTCGCCTTCATGCCTTGAGCTAAATGAGGTGCTTATTCTCAACATTCTCTCAGGCTCACCATTTATAGCCAGAACCTCCTCAATTGCTTCTATAATATCTAGCCCTAATCCTCATTCAACATATAGGTGTAATACCTCCTATAGGGAGGTACCTTCCCTACTGCTTTCAGGTAACATGCTTGAGATTGTATGAGGTCACCCCTCATAGTGATCTCTCAATCACCTAGCGGGGAGTTGACTGCTACATGATAGGTTGAGATGACCACGTTAAAGGAATTCAGGAGTGATCTCTCAAAGATGGCATTATACATGGTTGGTGTGTTCTATGATTATGAAATTTGTCATTACAGTTTACTGCTAGTCACCTTCACCCAAGGTGATCAGTAGGGCTATTACTCCTATATCCTTGTGCTCTCTTAATAAGACATAAAGAGGGCTTAAAATAGGGGTGAGTTGAGAGACAAGAAGATTTATTTTATCAAAAAGATTTTAAAATGATGTTAAGTGAATTCTTATGTCAATCAATACACTGCCAACTTGGTAAGTGACGGCCAAAGTCATGACAACCACTGCATCATTCTAGGGGTTCTCATTGGAGGGCCTATTTGTTTCACAAAATGTGATTGGGTGATGTCATTTGTTAGCACCCACAAGGTGGTGGAAGTTAACTTCACTAATCAAGGCCTTTTGGGGTTACTCACCATGGAAGACTCAGATAATTCGCCTCTCATGATGATGCTCACTAGTCCAACAATTTAAATAGAATAAGCAGAAATTGGCTCATTTCCATTGGGGCCTTTTCTGGGAACCAACCAAAGTCAACAAGTACAAACTCCTTTAGTTTACCTACCTTGATTGAATCCTCGAAGAGTCCATGGAGGTGTTAATATTCTATGGTGTTGTGGTCATGATTTTTGAGAAAAGGCACAACACATTGACATGTCACTAGTGTGTGCTCTCACCTTCATAAGCACTAGGCGCTTAAAAAACTATTTATTCTGGATGGCCTTACTAGCTCAACCATGGCCTCTTGGAAAAGAGTGATTGTAGGATAATTGGGAGTATGGTGCATGCATCCTCACTAATAGAGGCAAGTGGCGTGAGGTGGCTCCTCCATCCTCGATGTAGATGGTTTGATAATTCTAAGCATCATCTCCTATAGGGGTAACCTTTAGTGTCTGGGTGATGACAATCATGTGGTGTCAAGGGCATCCTATCAGTTTGTTGGTCCCTTGAGTGAATTCTATCTCATTCCTTACCGCACAATTAGTCTTTCTTAGTAGTGAATTCTCTAGGGCGAGTGGATATGAAAGACTTTACCATTCGATTGTATTCCTTAGCATTTATGTGGTTTTTAGCTAGTTCAAAAAACATAGCAACTGTCTTTAGCTACTATAAGCCTAATGCTTAATAGAATGAACCCTTTCTTAATCCTTACATCATAGCATATTGGTCAATAACTAGTTCTAGGTCTCTCACCTCAGGTGTCTCCCTCTGAAACTTGGCAATGAAGTTTCATGATGACTCATCGGGCTCTTGTTGCATCTTGAAGAGGGCTTGCAAGCTTGTATGAGACTTTGGGCGCTTTGTAAATTAAATTATAAACTTCTTTATGGACTCTGCAAAAGAGATGATCACTCCTACCAACAGGAAAGCAAACCACATCAGTGTTAACTCTTTGAGAGTTGTGAAAAAAAGCTAACACTTAGATGGTGAAAAGCCTTCAACAGAAAACAACCAAGTCAGAAGATCATGCTAGAGTACTCTCTTAAGTGCGTGCCTGGGTAACCCTACTAAGGCATCTTTAATCATTTTAGTCAATCTTTCTTGAATCTCCAAAATATTATGACATGTGATATAGTTTGAGGCGTCCATTTCACTGACGATTAGGGGTTGAGTTGTTTGTCGAGTTGTGTCTGTCTTCTTCTCACAAGCATCAATCTATGCTCAACACATTTATTAGAACATAGGATCCAAATTCATCAAGATGATATCCATTGTTACTAGCAAACAAACTCAAAAGACTTGACATGAAAACCCAGTGTGTATGGAATGAAGAAAGATTTTGGGAACTAAAATATTTCACTAGCTCAATAAGACATGTGTGATGTGATAAAAAAATTCAAAATGTGTCTCTTTACCCATTATTTAAAAGGAGTATGAGGACTACAAAAAATGCTACGCCAAAAAAGCTAAAAAATGCAATTATAAATAAGGCTCGTTACATATTACTACGGATAAGTGTCTCAATCAAATACGCACTTCATGTGATCACTATTCTTCAGCTCAACTCTACAATCTTATATCTAGTTTCCTTATGTTGGTATTCATGGGCAAGTCAATGAAGGTGAGTCCTCAAATGGTTGAGCTGAATTTTTGATGACCGCTTGGGTTTGGCTTCTTAAAGCAACTTTTTAGTACAAAAGTTAAAATTTTTGTACTTAAAAGTTGCTTTAAGAAGCAATAAAAAGCCGTCCAAAATGAAACCTAAATAAAAATGGAACAAGCAACAACCACGAGCATCCCAAATAGCATCAGAGAAAATATCATGGATAAACAAAGAACATTCAATCATTTAAATAAATGAAACAAACGATCAAACATGAATAAAGAGAAATTCTGGTGCTTTCCTCCAGTATCCATTAATATACATATGAAAAAATTTATTTGATCCTTCACAAATCACTATGCTTAACTCCCTTTCCACTGGACAAACATTAACTAGAATACAACAAAAAAGGTTCAAGAAGATTCTTTTAAGAGCCTGATCTGTTTCTCAAAGCCTTCGAACCTTCAGGATTCTGCTGGTGTAGATTTTAGGCAGCAACACCATTTATTCTGCAGTAAAGAAGATTTTTATATATATGAGCCCAAGTTCTTATTAAAATAAAAAGGTAACTTGAATTGTCCCGTTTTTTATTTTATTTTATTCTATTTAAAATATAGAGAATTAAACAATGTCGTTGTCAGGTCCCAAATCCTTGATAAGAAAAATAAAAGATTATGTTAAGTAGTCGACAACCAGTGTAAAATTTGTTGAATAACGAAAAAAAAACCTACGTAGTGAAATAAAGGTTTTTTTTTTTTAAATTTTTTTGGATAAAGGCTTGTTGTAGTTGTAGTTGTAGAATATGGCAAATGAATGTGTTATGAGCTCATTTGGTTGATGGGGGATAGAAGATATGTTCTAAAAATATATAAATTTTAGTATTCTCTAATGTTGGCTTTTAACTATATTCAACTAAACAATGACTCAAAATTTTACTTTTTTTAAAATATGGATTCTATGTTCTAGCAACTAAGGTTTCGTTTGAGACAGCTTTCTCATAGCTTCTTAAAACAGCTTTCTAGTACAAAAATTTTAATTTTTATACTAAAAAGTTGTTTTAAGCAACACTAAAAAAATCATCCCAAACGAATCCTAAATGAGCTTGGAGAAAAGAGCTAGACGTGCATTAACATAAAAGAAATGGGCAACTCACTGAGTGAGACTTGGCGGCGGCATGAGTGGTTCCATGTTTATCAGACACTTCCTTGGAGGGAGAGTTGGATCCTTGAATGTTGCTTCCAGTCTTGCGCTCATCCCTGGCTTTGTTGAATATTACAGTGAAGCTCTCTGCAGAAGCAGGGTCGTTGACATCCCATTCACCAAACTTGGGTAAGGGTTGGCCTGAGTCCTGTTGGGAAAAAAATATCAGTTTTTTAACACAGCAAATTGAATGGTTAAATCCGAATATAATGAATATGACAAAGGGGAAAAATGTTCAAAACATCAACTTAAGCTTTGTTTGGAATGACTTTCTTATTGCTCTTAAAGCAGCTTTTTAGTATAAAAATTTTTAAGAAGCAGTAACAAAGACGTCTCAAACGAAGTCTTAGAGATTTATCAGGAGATGTTTGAGCACTTGAAAATGCATATTAAAGAGGCAACACATATGTTGACAAACTTGGTTGACTGCAAGTGTGATATCATGACGGACAGTTTGGCATTGTAAAGAACCGACGATGTGCCAGTGCAATACAAGATCAACAAATTGTTCATTCGGTTGGTCTATCACAGGCTGTTTGATGGAGCTTGGTGTGAGTACAGCTTTACAATTTCTCATTCCAAAGTGCTTGAGAATGATTTATATACAGAAATTTTCATTAAGATGAATCCCATATTCAGTAGAATTTATGTATAGAGCAAAATGAGAGATTGATAGAGACTAATAAAGAATCTGATATTCATACTTTCATGAATTATGAAAAGAGATCATTGAAATCAAGTTCTGAAACAAAAAATATTGAAATGCAACTAGCATTGGGTTAAAGTCCCTATGATGAAATGCTCTATGGATCATTTCCTACATAAAAAAAAAAAAAAAAAATAAAAAAAAAAAAAAAAAAAAAGTAATATGGATCGGCTCTTAGACATGTATTATCATGAGGAGAATTCCTCTACTTCCAAGAGAAATGAAAGCAACTACGAAGGACGTCGAGAAGCACAAAAATGTTTGTTTGAGAAGAATTGCACTCTAACATCTCTGAAGATTGTAACAAATCTAAATTTAGAGTTGAATATAACAAAAGAAAACTAAGGAGATATTCTCAAGACAATTTTGGAATGGTGAGACCTATGCTTTAAAGATCACAAGCACATCAATGAAGATATTGAGGTTGGTAGATTGTGACAAGAGGCCTCCCATTGCAATATTTATGATACAATTAGCAGTGCATTTGAATGAGAATTAAATAAGTACAAGTAAGTTTTTCATATCATTAAAGAAAAATGGAGGTGCCAAACTTGGTCAATCATTTCATTAAGATAGCTATTATAATAACCTAAAGTAATTTGATAGGAATAAATCTAAATTATAGGCAGATGGATAATTAATGGGGTATATGTAACTATTGGTAGGTTAGTGGGAAACCCAAAGGAAAGAATGGTCATAAATTAAAACTCACTAACGAAGCTTGTCATCCACTAAAAACAGATAAGAAGTCTCCAGGTATATTTTTTAATTTTACTTTCATATAGTGTTAAACTTTATATATATAGATATATTTTTAATGAGACACTATAATTTTAATACAAAGGAATGGAAGGAGATGTATGGCCTATCAACCCTAATTTTACAAAGAATTGGTAATTAAGATTTTAGGCTTAACTTGTAACATTGTTGGCAATGAGAGAAACAAGAGTGTCTTTAAGCAAGTTAATAATTTATTAATTTTAAATACACTAAATGATTCACATATTTTATAATTTTTTTTAATTTCTTTTTTATATATTTAAAAAGAAGAGAAACCAGTTGGATCAAAAGCATTCAAATGACTTAAATGTTTTATCAAGTACAACCAAACTTCAAAAAAAAAAAAAATCAATTTGAGAGATGCATTGCTGCAAATACATTGGATTGCATTGATGAAAATTGTGACTGGAAAATTGAAAAAATGGAAGATACTAGTGAGGAATGTTTTGCTGCTGAAGACCTAACTTAGCAATAATATAAAGAGGCGTCAAGAATAGTTGATTGAAGATGATTTGAAAGATTTAGCAACTTAAACTAAGAAAAGGTTCATCTACAATGAGGACTAATCCATTTTGACCTACATTCACTTCTACTACGTTCAAGAAAGAGAAGATGAAATTGACTCACAAGAAGAAGTTTTTGAAGATCATGAACTTCTAGTTGAAGCAGAAAGATATTATGTGAATGAAAGAGAAGATTATGACTAATGATTTATCTTATGCTTGCTTTATGAAACTTGAGATTTTATGCATTTAACTTTAGATTTTGCTATAAATTAAATGTGTTTATGCAATCAAGAAGTTCTTAACATTTACATCAAATTACTATACTACTTTAATATTTTGCTAATTCCCATGCATAATATAAATTGTTACAGATTTCAACTTCTAGGTTGAATTTTGATGTTTGTCTTCAAATAAGGTATTAACCTCATATTTCTTTTAGAGATAGAAGAGGGAGATAAAGAGTAAGGCATAAGTTTGATTGATAAAATGGGAGTTGCAACAAACACCAATTTGACTGATTTTTTTTCGAGAGTACGGCAACCTTTTCATATAAAATATAATCAACCAAAACATAAAATAAATAAATTAATTAAAGGCATATATCGTGATCTAAATTCATTCAGCCTCCTTTGTCCATTACAATATAGTCCACTCAATTTGATGTCATCCAAATGCAAGATCAACATCTATAAAGTTTATACAACTACTAAATTATTTAATTTCATTATTCCTTATATTTTGAGATTTGTTTTCTTTCAAGCAACAAAATGTCAAAATGCTTCAAAATAAACATCTTAAATTTGTAAAAAACATTTATATAACTTTCTAGTCCAAGCATATCCAATACATTTATAGGTGCTGTATTTTTCAATACCAAATATTCACTGAATTTACTTATGGAAAATGCCTCTCTATAAAAAGGTTCTTATAGCGTAATATATATAGCTGCTCTTTTCTTTTTATGCTTGGGAATGGTAGAAAATCCTTATAATATTCTTTAGTAAGCCTTAGATTTAATTTATGGGCAATCAATAATTTTTTTTGTAGACAATTTTTATATAGAAATCTTATAAAGATATTTATAAATAATTGTTTCCTTTAGTATAAATGGATTCCTTAATCTATGTTTAGAAGCTCTTATTCTTTTATTCTCTTAGTGCATATTTGTCAATGACAAATAACACACCCATAGCACAAAGGTCCTATGGAGCACAATGCATAGCACATGCTAATCAAAACAAAATGCAAAATATTAAAAATTTATCAATAACATACAAGTAAATATACACGAACATTTATGAAAACTACTAAATTAAAAAATAAACTACCACAAACCTAATGAATTAAGCTAGAAAAAAATTATGTTACAAAATCCTAAAAAAAGTTAGATTTGAAAGAAACATTAGGGTAAAAATCTAATTCCATATACAAAACTTAGGCTTGTAGAATTAGAAATTGGAACTTGTAAACTCAATATAAAGAGTTGAATATTTGAACAAGTCTCAAGATAAAAAACCAAGAGCTTGGAATAGATCAAAGAAATTATTACGCTCATTTCATAGCTTTGGTAATATCCAAATGCAACTTTTTTTTACATAAGAAGAATATCAAAAAAGGAAAAGTAAATATTAGAACTCTATAAGTCAGAAATATGTAAAATTCAATCTTCAAATGTAGTAAAGCAAGAACTACACTTCTATCTAGTGCCAAAGTTGTTTTCATTGCTTGTCAATGTCCTCAACTTCACCTTCACCATCATAGACAAAGCTCTCTCATCACCTATCAAAGCTCTAGCCTTCATCTTCACTAATTAAAGACCTCACCGTTGCCATTAGAGTCACACATCAAAACGCTCACCATCCATCAAAATCGAGACATCTCACATGGCTTACAACAAGCAAAGAATGTCTCACATACTTGTGTCAAAGCAAAGACTGTTTCAAGTCCGTATGAAGCCTAGAAAATGCTAACAACATCAAGCCTTTATCCCACTACGTAGGGTCAGCTACATGAATCATTTCTCTCCAGTGTGTTATGTTAATAGTTGAATTCTCCTTTAAATCTGATAAAGAAAAGTCATTTCTTACATTTTCTAACCAAATCTTTTTAGGCCTACCTCTATCTTTCTTAACATAAGCTAAATCTAATGCATTTACTCTCCTAACCGGATTATCGGAAGGCCGCCGTTTTATGTGACCAAACCATCTAAGGCGACTCTCTCTAATCTTATCTTCCACTAGAGCTACTATAACCTTTTTCACATATATGCTCTTTTCGTATGCTGTCTCTAAGAGTAAAGCCAATCATCCACCTAAGCATCCTTATCTTCACAATGCTTAACTTAATAATATGCTTCTCTTTTAATGGCCAACATTTTGCACCATAAAGCATTGCAGGTCACACCACCATCTTATAGAATTTTCCCTTAAGTTTAAGGGGAACTTTTCTATCACGCAACAAGTCCGATGCATTCCTCCACTTCAACCATCCAACTTGAATTCTATTAATAATATTCCAATTTATTTCACAATCACTCTGAACAATAGACCCCAATATATCTAAAACATGTACTCTTATTAATGGGTGGATCGCCCAATGTCACAATCCCCCACTAGATCTATTACTACTAAAATTACACTTTATATATTCGATTTTAGATCTCAAATGAAAACCTTTAAACTCTAAGGATGACCTCCATAATTCAAGTTTACCTTCAACTCCCTCTTTAGTCTTAACAACAAGAAGAATATCATCAGCAAAAAGCATACACCAGGGTACAACCTCTTACAAATGTCTAGTGAGAACAACCATGACTACAACAAAGGATATAAGCTTAAGACTAATCCTTAATGTAATACAACTAAAATAGATTAATACTTGGTCAAACCATCTTGTGTTTGAATACAAGTAATAGCTCATGCATACATATCCTTAGGACTTGAATATAAGCATTATTAGCCCCTTTCTTTTCTAGAACTCGCCATAGCACTTCTCTTGGAACTTTATTCCATGCTTTCTCAAAATAAATAAATATCATATGAAGAACCTACTTATTCCCTCTATACTTCCCCATCAAACCTCTAATAAATGTATGGCTTCCATTATAGAACTACTCGACATGAATCCAAATTGATTTTGAGAAACATTAGTATCACA